ACACTTTCGCGGAAAAGACAAGCTGCCCTACCCCTAGAATACACAAGGATACAGGACTTGGGTTTTGAGCTTTAACAAGCCAGCCACGTGTGTAGGGGTCACACGGGCTTTCAAAGTGCACACAACCTCCAGGTCTCATTTAAAGGGAATTGCTGGCATCTGTGAGGTGAAGTCTCTAGTGTCCCCCACGCCCCCCAGGCCCTGCTGGAAGAAGGGTGTTTATTAGGCAAATATCCAATGTTGTCTGCCTGCCTGCTGAATCCCTTGGTTTGCTAATCCAGCCCTACAAGCTGCACTGTGTACAGGGCACTTGTGGGAGTACAAAAAGCATGAAGTATTTGTGTATTTTTCAGTCTGCAGTGCAAACAAGCCAGCTACAGTATACAGCTCCCAAGCCCCCCGAAGCCAGGCAATGAGCAGCTGACTAGAGGCCCTGTGGGCCCCTCTTCTGACCGGGAAACTCAAAAGATGTCCTCTGTTCTATGTTCTCCCACAAGTGGGCTAGAGCATCCCTGAGAAAGTGGAGTGGCACTCCATCTGTCTGGCCAGAAGGGCCTCATCTAACTCTACACACACACACTTCAAGGTGGGCCAAGTCAAGATTCCCTCCAAGGCCACGGCCAGGGTCAGTGTGAGTTTGGGAGCAGTTTGAGAGGCTTTGCCAAAAGAATCTGAACCCTGTGCAAATTCTCCGCAAAAAACTACCAGGAAGAATATTTCTAACTGTCCCACTTTGTTCCTGGGTAAGCCTGGCCCTGATTTGGGAATGTTTCTCCCCTCTCATTCTCATTTGCACCCAATGACTTTGCAAATAGACTGCTCTGACCAGTCTCTCACTCAGATGTCAGACCAAGGGACAGCGGTTTACCTGAGGGCTATCTCCTGGGCAGCGGGCTCCTCACTTCAAATGGGATCTTCCTGCATTAGTTTACATCCCCACGCCCCAGAATCGCTAAATAACCTCACGAAAGAAGTATATTTCTCAAAGCAGAGGAGAAACACAAAATCACCCTACATTTCACAAAATATAACTAACTTTGAAACTCTCAGACAAGTGACAACTTTCCCTATGTCTGGGTTGGAGAGGAATTTAAATCTGGAAGAGCACGATTTCCTGTTAACCCTCAGCTGTGGGAGGGAGAAGCTGCAAGTCTAGGAAAATGAAAGCAAGACAACATGAAGAAAGAGGAGGGAGAAAAGAGGTCAGAGGATCAAGAAAGAGGGAGGCCCTTGAGGGGAGGTATCTGCCTGGTCTAGATTCTCCAGTCTAGAATTACTGCCTCACGGCAGATCAGAAGCTGGGAAAAGCCTCGAAAGCATCAAAACTCAAAGCCAGGTATAGCCAGGGTTCCTTCTCCTCCCCCGGGAGACCAGCCCAGGTAGCCACACAATGAATTTCCTCCGTACTAAACAACTGCAAGGCCGCTGCCAGGCAGGGGAGGCCTGCCTCCGACAGCAGGAAGAGAAAAGGGCACTCCCAGCCAAGGTAAGGAAATGGGCGGAGAGGGGCCTTCTAAGTGAGGTGGCTAGAACAAACAGACATCATCAGGGGACTTGTGACTAGCCCGCCTATTGCCCCGCTTTCCACCGCTGTATATTTTGGATTTCACAGTTTATTTACTTTACTTTTTGGCACCGAGCCCCCTGAGCATGCCAATACAATATTTGTTTAAACACTATTTTATGCCGCTTGCGAGGGAAACGTTTACTTTCAAATTCTCCAACATCCCCCAGAGCCTCATCTGCAAACAGCATATGAGCGTTTTACAACTGCTCCCTTTATCTGAAGCCGTCGGGATTAAACCTTCACACGCCCGGCGAAGGCGGCGGGAGCGGTTCCAGGACTCGGCCGCGGCCACCGGGCAGCAAAGCCCGCGCCAGAGGCGGTGCACCGAGCGCGCTGTCCGAGCGGGAGACAAGAGGAGCGCCTAAGACCCCCGGGAACCGCACCATACGCTAGAGAAAGGTCTACTGTTGCAGTCGAGATCAACTCTGAAAGCCACATAAAAATTATACAAAAGAGAGGAGGAGTGGGGAGAAGCACCCGGGTCGGGGAGCCAAGGCCCGCGAGCGCCTCTGCCGCCGGTCACCGGGGCGAAGCGCGCGGCCCTATCCCGATCTCTTCACCCAGTAAAAGTCGGGTTTCCGACGAAATG